CTTGAGCCACAGTCCTTGAGAAGGTGTATCGACCATGCTCTTTTAGACAAGAGCAGCAAAAAGACCCTTTTTTAGGTAGGAGTTAACTTGGAGAAGCAGGAAAATAGGACTCCCAGGACTCCAAGAACTCAGCTTTTGTGCTTGTGACTGATTTGCCTCTGAGCATTAGAAGAGAAGGAAACCATGATCTGTTGCATAGAATCAGTATCTCTTGGGAAACTAATCTGTTATTGGGAATGTTCATTTTTATATAAAAGAGAAAAACTAATTTTTAGTTTTGGAACTTGAAAATCTAAATATGCTTTTCCCTGCTCCAGAAGTAAGTGGCAGCATTACTCTGTGTGAAAGATTAGTAGTGAATTATTAGAACTTTATTATATATGTAAACACAGTCATCTTTGATTGCAGATGCTGAATATTTATGATAATGTGTAATACCAGTATAGTTTCTCCATTAATGGAATTCAGATCTCTTCAATAATGCCTGTTAATTAAATCTCACTGTCACTGTTGGGGGTATGAGTACGTGTCTCTGTTTTGCAGAAAATGAAAAACAGAAATTCCAAGTTACAAGTTCATGTAAAAGTTTTTGTGCTTTTTGAACTGCATTTGAGCTATCTGTCACTCTTAGAATGTCAAAGTAAATCGGTTTCCAAATTTGAGATGCCTATTTTAATTTTTATGACTCTTCCAAATGCTGAGATAAAAGTGAAAGATATCAGAAACATTTTTTTACACAACTATTTAATCATCAAATCAAGAAATCTACAATGGAGTCTTCTAAGACTATTTAGTTAAATATAAATGTCTAAGGTTTCTTTCTGAATTTCAATTAACTCTGAAGCTTCCTAGATTTTATTATGAGTTTGCTATGTAAGCTTTTTTCTTTCTTTACAATTTTTAATAGCTTATTTTTAATTGGGAGAAATAGGTGTAGATTTAACAGATATTCAACATCTCAGTGCACCAGTTAGGTGGTACAGAGCAGAATGACTTACTTGTACATCACGTTATTTGTTCCATTATGCAGTGTATAAGTGGAAGTGTTTAGGAAATTTACTTGCAATTTGAGGCTAAAACACTCTTAGTTTGAGAGAAAGAGATCCCTTCCTAAGATGTATCATTACTTTTAGCCGTTCAGAAGTTGAAATCCCCTATTTTGCGTGACATTTTTTTCTTTACATTTATAATGTATTACAAGTATGTGACTCATGTATTTGGTCTATTAAAGCAAAGTGAGCAAGATCCAAGTATTTTCCCCTGCATTACTGTTCTGGATAGTCTGCTTTTTTTGTCCTTCCTCCTTCCCTCCCTTCTTCCTTTCCCCCACTACCTCTTTCCCAGTTGTTAACTCTGAGGTTTATTTTTTCCTTTACTTTATTTGCTGAATGTAATCAAGTTCTTATTGCCCAGTAATTTCTGGATTGCCGTTCTTTGAGCGTGAATTGAGGGTATAAATAAAATAGCAAACTAGGTGGTGGTGGTTTTATTCTTTTCCTTTTTTCCTTTTTCTTTTTTTCCCTTTGAAAGATTTCATTGCCTGTGTTGTTCATAGAGGTGGAAAAGGAAGCATCTTGGATTAGTGTGTCATCTTATGAATATCATTTTTGTTAGCCTTGTACTTGAAAGTGATAATTTGCATTTACGAACTGGGAGAGAAGACAGACTATATTAGCAAAATAATCTTCTAGTAGCATTCTTTGGACCCAGCTTAAATAAGTTGCTCTGAGAAGTCTGTCTGACTTGCTGTCTTCCTGTATCTCTTTTTTTTGCCAGTGTAGCTTTGCTTCTCTGAGGGCTTAAAAAATGTATATAGGTGTAATTGGGAAAGCATATCTTAAGTGTAGACCCTTTCTTTCCAGTTTGTCAAGATGCAGCTTGGTAGACATGTCATTTAAGAACTGCCATGGTACAGAGGACTGGTATTCCCTTCGTATGAAGTTGGGGATACTCTGCAGGTGTTGGCCAAGCTCTGCTTTGAAAAGGGCAGTTTGATTGCTCTCTTGGCTGGCCTTTTCCTCTGTTGCACTGTAATCATGGCAAGAGCAAACTTTGCTTTCTCCTTTTGCAAAGAAATGAACACTGACTGAATTATCTCCAGGAAAACTGGTCTATCAGGAGAGAAGTTGGCAGTGTCTGTGGCCTCTTTTTTTTTTTTTCTTTTTTTTTTTCCGAGGCTCCCATTGAAGTCTCCCACCAGAGGAGAGCATTTGGGGAGCATTTTGCTGTGTATCTATGTATATGTCTCCTCTTGGGCAAGGATAAAGCTTTAGTATCACAGCTATGACCCAGGTTACTGGTCACTTCCAGTCAGCTTCTCTTCCACTGATTATTATTATTATTCCCATTGACTGAATAGTAGCTTGACACCGCCTTCTTTGGCAGATGAGTAATTATGAGCTCTGGAAGTGAAAATTGTACAAGAGAAAACTGGAGTATGATGACTGTAGTAATGTACGTGAATGCTTTACAGAGACCAGATTCATGCAAGTTTTCAGTTGTGTAACAGGGAGAAGTCTGCTTGATCCTGAGCCAGGATGACATCCTCTGGGTTTGGATTTCAGAGGGCTTGAGCTTCATATTAACATAATTTAAATACAAGTCAAGCTAAGGTTTAAATCCACAGTTCAAATTTGTGCATGAAGTGCACATAACATCAATATATCCCTTGAGAGAAGGAGAAAAAGGAGAAAGGAACACAGGCAAGATCCCTCCATGCAAGAAAATAAGCAATATTATTCTGTATTTTGTATGTCAGTTTGTTGGCATTTCCCTGTATAGCGTCAAAAAAAAATTGTCATATTGAGTTGTGCTTGCAACAAATGACTTAATGGAACAAATGTGCTACTTTGTGGATTTCAGCTAGCTTCAAAAGCCTGC